AGGGGAGGGGAGAAGGCAGGCAGGCAACAAGGCAAGATCTGGGCATGTTTCAACCAAAATAACTGGCTGAAGACAAAAATATAACTATTACAATTTCAGGAGTAAACACTAACCATATCTGTTAACCTACTAAAAAGAACAATGGAATTAAATTCTACAAAGCATGAATGCTCTGAAAAATACCTGAAGACTCAAAATAACCTTAAAATTGCTCAGTCAACAGTGAATGCAACCTGATCATGAAACCATTTGAGAAAAATCATTTACTACTCCTTGTTTTGTAAATGATTATAACTGACACTTTAACTACACCTATGCTGGAATACCTCACTGTATTATGTGTCATAGTATATTACAAACTGTCCCAAGGCATGATCATCCTAAGCACCCCACAGATGGCAATAAGCCTGCTGGTATCCTAAGAAATCAGCAAAATGTCAATATGAATTTGCCACATTTAATAAGGGACTCCCACCTTCTTGGACCAAGTCCTCTGCAGTGTTAACTCCGTGCTCTATGAGTTTCTGGCAGTCATCTAGTGGTTTAATGGTCTCTTGTTCAATGGTATCCACCTCTTGCAAAAGGGTCACCAACCGCTCATCCAGGAGCTTGCCAAGGGTTCCCTTTAAATCATTAAAATGCTGTCTGAGGACATCTCTTGTCTGGGACGCACTCTCTTTGATCTAAAAAGAAATAACATCAAAACTCAGAATCAGATTCACTACAAATGGGTAACCCACAAGCAACCTATGACAATTTCAAGGTACTAGACAGCCATCACCTTCTATCCACTGAAAAACCTAATGTGATTCATTTGCACAAACTTGCAGACATGCATAGAACTGGCCTTCAGGTGAGACAGAATGGGCTCAAACCCTGGTTCCATCATTCACAAACTGTGGCAATGTGGTCAACTTAATTAAGCACTCCATGCCTCAATTTCCTTATTTCTCAAATCAATATACTAATCCTTACCTTATGGGGGTCGCTGTTAGGATTAAAAAATAATAATATATGTTGCACTTAGTAAAACAACTGCTACACTGTTGTTCTCAATAAGTAAGTATTAAAAAGTATTATTTATACAAAGTAATTCTTGGCAATAGTACATTTCAGTAAAAAAGAATTTTAAATTAGGAGTGGATTAAAATTCATTTTGCTGAAAGAAAATGAAGAAATGGTAGATTAAAAAGCTACAACACAAAAAAATCCACTCATGGATAAAATGTCCTCATTTTGCCAAAAGAAAACTAAGAATTTATTTAAAACCACAAGAGGCTCACAAGAGGCAGAAAACGTTCATAAAAAACACACTTCTGGGACAATGACTTAATCTTTTTTGTTGTTGTTAATCGTCACCCGAGGATATTTTTTCCATTGATTTTTTTTAAAGAATGGAAGGGAGGGAGGGAAGGGGAGAGAGAGAAATATCGATGTGAGAGAGGCGCACAGATTGGTAGCCTCCCGGGCTGGGGATCAAACCTGCAACCCAGGTACATGACCTTGACCAGAAATCGAACCCAAGACCCTTTGGTTGCTGGGCCAACGCCCTAACCACTGAACCACCGGCCAGGGCGACTTAATCAAATTTCCTGGTCCTCTTGGTGAATGGTCCTCTTGGTGAATCTCACTGAGAGGTTTACAGACCCTCTTCCCTGAAAAATGATTAATCCATACCCTAAAGAAACTTATTCAATTTCAGAGGTTACAAATTCCCTTAGGTCCCAACCATGGCTTGCTGGGAGCAGTAATTCTGAAAGTTGGTTTGCAGAAGAATTACACAGGCTGCCTGTTACAATTCAGATGGCAGGGCTCCATCCCAGACCTGCCCAACTAGAAGCCTGGAGGGGGGCTCGAGGAGTGTATGGAGCTCTCGCTTTTCACAAGCACACCTGTGCTTTTGCAGCCCATACTTTAAGGAACACTGCCCTAGGTCCAGAGAGCCAGATTAAGAACGGCTGTTCTAAGAGATGAGACAGGAAAATCTTTACATTTCACTCATATTATGGAAACAAATCACGTGTCTATACATATACCAGATTTTTTTTAAAAAAATATATCTTTATTGATTTCAGAGAGAGGAAAGGAGAGGGAGAGAGAGGTAGAAACATCAATGAGAGAGTCATTGATCAGCTGCCTCCTGCACACCCCCCACTGGGGATCAAGCCCGCAACCTGGGCATGTGCCCTGACCCGGAACTGAACCCCAGTCTCCTGGAACCTAGGTCGACACTCAACTGCTGAGCCACACCCGGCCGGGCCCAAATTTCTTTTTAAAAAATATAGATAACACAGCCCTGGCTGGGGTGTTAGAGCATCCTCCCGACATGCCAAGGTTGCAGGTTCCATCCCCCACTCAGGGCACATACAAGAATCGACCAATGAAATGCATAAATAAGCGGAAAAACAAACTGATCTCTCCCTCTTTCTCTCTCTCCCCCCACCCCTTCTTCTCCCTCTCTAAAATCAATTTTAAAAAATAGAACAGAGATAACACACAATTCACTTTCTCTCACTTAAAAAGGAAATTCTAACTATACGCCAAACATGCAGTTGAACTGAAGCAAACACGTACTTTATTTTGCAGACACTATCGTATTGGTTTCATATGACATTACGTTTACTGCCCTCACCCTTCTGCTAACTTTATCTTAGCAGGAGCATTTGGAGTCCAAGAAAAACCACCGAGGAAGAATATATCGAGATATGGATAAAGCACTACTATTTCAACTGTGAATACAGAAATTTAGAAAACTTTCTATTTTTTTCTCTAATACTAAACTTAAAAAGCAGGATACAAATTTTTCTTACAGAAATGTTCACAACCACATAAAAACAAAAGATGCCCCTGCCCAAGAACAGAAATACCAAAAGAAGGAACAGTTTGATTGGCTGGGGTGGGCAGGTGATGGAAACAATTTTTTTTCTCCTTTTGACACTGATGGAAGTTACAATGAATGGTATGTGCACAGTAATATAATTTCTTAAATCCTAAAGTAAAGGAGAAATCCTATTTTAAGTTTGTTAACTGATCTCTGTAAAGTTACTGAAGAACTTCTATAAAATAAACCCAAGTCAAAGTTGGGTTTTTTTTGTTTTTTTTACTATATCTTTATTGATTTCAGAGAGAGGAAGGGGGAGGGAGAGAGAGAGAAACATCAATGATGAGAGAGCCATCATTGATCGGCTGCCTCCTGCACGCCCCCCACTGGGGATCTAGCCCGAAACCTGGGCATGTGCCCTGACCAGGAATCGAACCTCAATCTCCTGGAACCCAGGTCAATGCTCTACCGCTGAACCACGCCAGTCGGGCTGTTGGGTTTTCTTAAAAACAAGGGTCATACTGAAAACATACTTGATTTGGTTCATCACTCAACTGTGGGATCCTTGATAATAAGGCCCTAACATACTAGCACTAAGCAAATAAATGTGGAATAAAAATGAAGTTAATCATGTGTGCTTTTAAGATATTATTAAAAGAATGAGGGAGCGCAGCCGGCGTGGCTCAGTGGTTGAGCATCCACCTATGATCCAGGAGATTGTGATTCAACTCCTAGTTGGGGCACATGCTCAGGATGTGGGCTCAATCCCCAGCAGGGAGGTGTGCAGGAGGCAGCCGATCAATGACTCTCTCATCATTGATGTTTCTATCTCTCTCTCCCCATCTCCTTTCCTCTCTCTGAAATCAATAAAGAAATATTTAAAAAAATAATAAATCAATAAACAAACCAGGAAGAGAATGTCTTATAATTTTGACACATCACCTGTCAGAAATGCAGAAAATCTCAGGCCTCACCCAGAGTTACTGAATCAGGACCTGCATTTTAAACAAGATCCCCAGGTGACTCAGGTAGACCTTACACATATATACAGAATAAATGAAGACAGCATGCCAGAGCACAGTAATATAGCTCGCACCCCCATCACCAAGAGGAAATTCTGCAGCTGAACACTATACCAACCAGGTCCTGTCTCGCTCTTTAACGGATATAGCGCACACAGATACAGCACACACAGGAAGTTCATTGGTTAGGTAAAGTCAATTTCCTCTTTAGAAAGAATTCAAAAGCTCCTTCAGCTGTTGCAGGGCCTATGTTTTGTTTTTGTTTTAGAACCTCAGAAAAAAAAGGAAGTATTCAAACACAAAGCAGTGAGAGGGCCAGAGAAGGGAGACTCCATTTCCAAATCCACCTCCTGTACTTTCATTGTAAATTTGTTCTCTTTCGTTCACAGAACCCCAACCACTGCTTTTTAAACTTGATACTACCTTGGCACCATTTTCTTCTCCCTGAAATAGTTCATAATCTAAAGCATCAGTCACCTTTAAGCCAATCATGTAACCAAGTGCATTTGCTTGGCTTACTGAAGCTTTAAAAAAGGTAGGCTTCAAAAACAAACAAACACCGCCTTCACTGCTGAGTGAATTGTTCCTATCTGATTTGGTAAAATGGTCCAGTGTGTTCACAGCTCACTGCATCTTCACAACTCCGAGAGGTGGGTCTGTATTGTTTATGCTGAAGAAAGTGAAGCTCGAAGCCAAATAACTCCCCAATGCTTCCCAGTGCCAGAACAGTCTGACTCCCAGGACTGTGGTCTTTCCATGCACCAGGCTGTTTAGTACCTACAGATCCCATTTGAAAGAGTTCCCAGGTAAACCTGTAAATTATGTATTGACTGACTCACTTCCTGATGTCATATGTATTTCTTATCTTTGCAGGAAGAATCTCATCATGGTCAACCAGTCAGCCCCAAATGCTTCATAGCCATTCTAGGGCAAAACAACTGTGATGGTCTGTAATAAAGCAGACTTAAGAAGAATACAAATGATACATAACTCAAGGTCTCTAAAAGGAAACATAGTTTATGTTGATTAACAATATTCTGAACCAATTTTCCACTAAAACCTTTTACTGTAACAGACCATTAAAACTTATTTACAGCCCTGGCCCTTGTGGCTCAGTTAGTTGGAGCATCATCCCAAAACGTGGTCGGTTCGATTCCCAGTCAGGGCACATACCCAGCTTGTGGGCTGAACTCCTGGTCAGGGTGTGTTTCGGAGGCAACCGATCGATGTTTCTCTCTCACAGTGATGTTTGTTTCTTTCTCTCTCTACCCCTTTCCTCTCTCTAAAATCAATTTTAAAAAATTAAAAAAAAAACAACTTATTTACAAAGTTTCTACTGCAGTGTCTTAATTCCAAAGCAACTGTATTTTTATACACTTGCTATATCAAGAGAAAGGACAGGACAGAACAGAACAGAATGTGTATTTCAGGAAATTAAGACATGCATCTTCATGGCTTTACAGAAGAAAAGAATTCTTATCTTCCAAGTTTAATCTAAGAATTTATTTTCCCAACTGTTTTGTGAATAGGAAACTCAAACTATATAAAACTAGAGACTGGCTTTAAAACACCATTAGCTAACAAGAACACAGTGATCAAAAATAAAAGACAAAGATATAAAATCATCAACTGAAATTGAAAAAGCTAACCAAAATGTTTCTTCTCAGTTCATGTGAAATGTACTGCATTAACTATTTGTTTTTGCACTGACACCAAAACATTAGTCATTAAAAATAATAATGATAGCCCGGGCCAGTGTGGCTCACTAGTTAGAGCGTGAGCCTGCGCACCTAAGGGTCTCGGGTTTGATTCCCGATCAAGTGCAGGTACCTGGGTTGTGGGTTCGATCCCTGCCCCCAGTCAGGGGGTGTGTGAAAGGCAAACCAGTCAGATGTGTCTCTCTCACATCAATGTTTCTCTCTCTCTTCCTCCCTCCCTCCCTCCCTCCTACAGTCTCTGAAAAAGCAATGGAAAAAATACCCTCAGGTGAGGATTAACAACAACAAAAATAATAATAATAGCAATAATAACAATACAGTAATAGCTATCATCTACTGAACACCTACTGTGTGCCAGGACCCATTCTTATTTAAATACTACCACAACCCTACGCAAAAACCACCTGTAGATGAGTAACATATGAGTCAGAGAGATGAACTTGCCCACATCACAAAGCTAGTCAAATGGCAGAGAATTGGAATAGTCTGATTCATGTATGGTCTCATAAGTGTTGCTACATTTCCTTCTTATCTCTCTTACAATTAGGCTATTTTTTTAATGCTTATTTGAAAATGCTCAAAAGGAAAATCTTCATTATATGATTTGGTGGCCTGTTACATTTGTGGCCCCCAGTGAACAACAACTCTTGGTACTGACATCCTTGTACAGTCCTCTCTCCTAGAACACAGGTGGGCCGAGGGGGGGCAGTACAGGCCGGGGCAGAGCTATAGAGTGGAAGGGATGTTCTGCCAGTTCCAGGCCTCAGCCTGAAGAAAACAGGGCAACTTGTGCCTTCCCACTTTGAGGGTCCTGAGTCACCATATAAGAAGTATGTCTACCTGTCCGGAGAGAACAAGTGGAAGGAGGAGGAGAGTGGGAAGGGTGGGAGGGAGGTAGAGACGGTGGAAAAGAGAGAAACTGGTACTGAGGCCCAGCTGTACCGGAATTCCAGCTGACTCCTGTTCCTGCTAAGGCTCCAAACAGGTTAAGTGAGCATTTTATCTTGAACATTCCAGCCTTCGCTGCCATCTGATTGCAATTACATGAATGTTGCCAGCAAGTTCAGGAGAAATGGCCAACTGAGCCTCAGTCAATCCCCAGAACAGCAAGCAAATAAAATGATTGCTTTTTACGCTGTTACACTTTGGCACGGTTTATGGAGCAACAAATAACCAAATCATATGATAAAACAAATGCTTAATTCTTGATTATCTGCATTAATGAACAGGGTACATATAATCAAGACCACAAACAATATTAAAAAAAAGGTCTGCAAAATTACACCCACAACATTCATAAAGGCACTCATTCAGTATTTAATGAGGTCTAGTATGTTCCAGGAACTGGGGTTATAAAGCTAAATAAGACATGGTCCTGACCTCAAAAAACTGTCCTTCTGGTAAAGGAGATAGTTGCATGCACTATAATAATATAATATAGTTGTATGTAACTATAATAAGATGTAGTATTAAGTTCTTATGTAAGTGGGATGGCCACAAACTGCCAACAGAACTCAAAAAGAGCATTCTGTTGGGAAACGGAGTAGGAGAGAAGTAGGGGATGTCACTTTGAATAACAACAATATTTAGTGGTATTATTATTACAGCTTTTATCTTTTAATATATTTTTATTGATTTCAGAGAGAGAGAAACATTAATGATGAGAGAGTCATCATTGATGGGCTGCCTCCTGCATGCCTCCTACTAGGGATCGAGCCCGAAACCCCGGGCATGTGCCCTGACCCGGAATCGAACCACGATCTCCTGGATCCTAGGTCGATGCTCAATTGCTGAGCCACGTCGGCTGGGCTACAGCTAACATTTATGAAGCACTCCGTATGTCCCAGACATTGTGCTAAGCATTTTAAATACATTTCTCATGTTAACTCCCACATTGGCCAAGTAAAGTAGGTACAATCCCTATCTTCAATGTACAGATACAGAAAGTGAGGATCAGGAAAGTTAAGTTTCTCAAAATCTCATGGCTAACAGGGGCAAGTACTAACAAAGTAAAATAACTGCAAATAAAAGTGATTCACTGATACCTCTCAATAATAAAAACCTGTACTACATCTGTTTGGCTTTTTTAGATCACAAATTAGCCATATTATTTACCAGGTTTATAGTAACAAGAATAGTTCTTTATCAAAATTATACAAACATTACAATTTATATTGAGAAAAAAGCTATACAGTAAAACTGACATTCACACACCTTTTCATTAACATCACTGATTTTAACATTATTGACTCAGAATGCCTGTTTTAATTCTTATATATATCATTCTATATTCCAAGTGAGGTTTGGATTCACCAAGCAGCTTTCAGAGTGTCATGTTTAAAGACAATTTATGAAAAGACTTATTTGAGAAAAGATGACTGAAAATCCAATGTAAATAGATGGTCTTGCACACAAATATGTGTGCAGCTTTTTTTTCTTGGTTGTTAATTATTTATCATTGCTTCTAGAGCTTTGCTTGTAGTACTTTGGTGTACCTGAGTCAATACATTTCAGCCTACCACCAACCTATGCTCCACAGGTACCTATGTAATAGACTATTCACCTCTGCGTTAAAAATAAGATTGCACATGGGAAATTTTCATAATAAATGCTTATGATATAATGTTAACCAAAAGGAAAAAATGGATACAAAGTTGTACATAGTCTCTCAGTTTCACAAAATAAGTAAAGAAGGAGACACCAAAATGTTAATAATGGTTGTCTCTACGTAGTAGAATTATGGGTTATTTTTATTTTGTTTTATTTTTTTAATATATCTTTATTGATTTCAGAGAGAGGAAAGGAGAGGGAGAGAGAGAAATAGAAACATCAATGATGAGAGTCATTGATCAGCTGCCTCTTGCACGCCCCCGACTGGGGATCGAGCCCACAACCCAGGCATGTGCCCTGACCAGGAATGGAACCCCAATCGCCTGGATCCTAGGTCGACACTCAACCACTGAGCCACGCCCGGCAGGGCAGGGTTATTTTTAAATTATTTCATTGACTCTTGGTTTTCCCCAGCTGTAGATTGAACCTTTTCTTAGGACGCTATAACATGGACATTTTAAGTACTACTGCAGTAGCAAATTATTTAAAACAGATTTTTGGACTGTTTTGAAAATGGGTAACAGAAGGGGAAGTGGGAGATAAAAGCAGCAATAATAGCTTTCTTTTCTTTGCTGAGCTACTAAGACTTCCTGCCCTGGTTCTCTGAAATAACTTTTTTACGCTGAGTTCTATATCTGTCCCAGTCTTTAACTAGTATGCTATGTGTTTTCAAATGCTGTGGGAATAATAATCTATAGAAAACCTGGTATTGTACATTAGAAATATCAAGATTACGAGTTCAATCTTCAAGAAATTATCTGAAATCAACTATTAAAAATTGCAAACAAAATACTATGAAAGAAAAATGGTCACATTACAGATGGTAAGACACTCTAGGACAGCACTGGCTTGAGACTGTCAATTACTCACTTGCATTTCTTTGTATAATTATCTAGCAAACCTGATATTCCAAGCAATGCTTTAATCTTGAGGATAAACCACAGCAATTTATGGCAACACACCTGGGGTTTAGGTTAAACTACAGAAATCAGCAGAGAGCTGATGAAGAGGTAATGATGATATGCTCTAAGGCAGTGTGCCTCAAGTTTTAATGTGCCTACACGTCATACATGGCAATCTCGCTAAAGTACAGGTTACACGACTCAGTAGGTCTGGGTGGGGCATTCTCCACAAGCTCAGGTGATAGACACTTGTAGTAGCAAG